AACATCTTATGTAAAACTTGCCATGTTACCCAATTCATAACTCAACTAATGAAGATTGAGTCATCTCTATACCATTGAATATATGCATGCTATACAATCTAGTTTAAAAAAAAAATCTACACAATGACCGCAGCTCCCAGTTCATCCTTTGTTTGGGTGTCTTTTGAATGAGGGAGCAAGACGAAAAGGGGAAGAGAAACATGGTGATCTTACCTTATACACAGTGCCGAAAGCTCCAGAGCCTAAAACTTTGACCTTTTTAAATTCTGTTTCCTTTAAAATTCTCAGATGAGCCTGGTTTGGTGCCTCCCCGCTGGGCGTCAGGGGTTCGACAAGCTGGTGCAGGGAGAAGAAGATGTTAGAAGGATATACAGACTAGGAGGACAGCAAGCAGCACGCTTCAGGGAAGCAAATAAATCCTTCCTTTAAAATAATGAACATTTTACTTCACGTGCAGTTTATGGGAGGACAGGTCCACTCTGACTTGCAGCAATAAATATCTAGAGCCGCTCCAAATTTTAGAGGTAAAATCAATCACGGAGTGGTGACTGCCATTTTGAAGGAGAATGAAGGAATACTACTGTTCAAATGAAGGCTTTGACTTCAAAGCCTTAAAACACATGGCATGAAGAACAATGTAATTTCCACAGATTCTAGAGAAGTGGTTTTTTTTTTGAACTTGTGAATAAATTATAAAAATGTTTTAAATAATGGGCAAGAATCACCTGCAACCTTTCAGGTCTGCTCTTGTTTAACTGGAAGAAATTCCCATGGCACCAGTGGCTCCCCCAGGCCACAGGATTTACAAGCAGGAATTGAAACTCTGAGAATGATTCTTTTCTCGGTAAAAAAGGATGTGGTGAATTGACTATTGATGTTCTCAATATTTGACCCAAGCCTTATCGCAAATGGCATGGCAGTAATGCCCTCCAAACAGGATATTCAACACTTTTTTTATGCGCAAGTCAGCTTTTTCCCTTAGTGCTTTTTCTTTTTCCTTTCCTTTAAAAATAACCGTATTTAGCTAGATACAATCTGATTTTAGTGGGCCAGCAACCTTTCTGTTGTGATGAAATATCCTAATTTTGAAGAGTCCAGTGGGTACAATATGAGCTGAGCACAAACTGAAATCTACTACCACAACTGTAGAATACAGGAGTATGTAAAATATTAAGTGCATTAAAAAGCAGGACAGCTTTTTTAAAAGAATTTTAGCAGCTGACTCTGCAAAGCCAGCAAGCACAGAAGGAAGCTGTAACTGGGCTTTTAGCAGAATGCTAAATAAAATTTGCTAATTATTTACCAGGATTGGACTAGAAAGAGAAGGTAGCTGATCATAAAACAGCAGCTTTAATCCAGGATAATGAATTTTGCTATTTTATGTGTGAGGTACCCAGAGGGTGATGCTGTAACACACACATGGGGAAAACAAAAAGCAGTGTAGAAACCTTGTTCATGCCCAACAGGGTGAACCATTCACTTTGATGGCTTTGTGGGTTTTTTGGGCTAAAAACAAACCAAAGACAAGACACAAACACTTCCTCAATTCCTTTCCCTCCTCTCCTTTCTCTCTCATTTTTTTTTTCCTCAGGATCAGACATATGCCTGATTAAGGGAGTAAAATTTTCAAAAGCGTCCAAGTTGCCACAGCAGCCTCAAGGCGTGTCTGGAGGAAGAAACGATTTGAGGCTGAGGGTCAACGCAGCAAGATGGTATGGATCAGCCAACACACTGCACCTCATCTTGAAGATGTAGTTTTTTCCGAGTAGACAATCTCAATGATTTTCACTAGGTATCTAAATACCAGACATCTAAATCCCCTAAAGCTTTTTAAAATTATATCCAGAGGGATCAGACTTGAGATGAAGTGAGAAGGTGTTAGGTGCACACTGCGCAGCAGGTGCTGTGTTTGCCAACCCAAGGGCTTGTTGAGTAACAAGGCAGATGCACGGTGCTTTAATTCTCTGGTACGAGGAGGCCGGCACCCATTGCCCCAAATAAAGCAGCCGGCGTTGCAGCCGTGCCGGTGGCACTCACCTCCCTCTCCTGCAGCAGCCGGCGCAGGGTCCGCTTCCTGACGATATGGCGCCGCCGCAAGTAAAGGCCGATGCCCAAGCCGACCACCACCAGGCACAGGAGACCTCCGACAACACCAGCTGCGATAGATGGGATTTTGGAGCTGAAAGAGAAAAAAATGCTTAGGTGTAAGATTTAAAAAAAACCCCACTGAGGTTGCATGAAGCTTTTAGGTTTTGATCAAACGCACACTCTGGACATCCACGTATCTGACATTTCAGATATCTTGGGCATCTGTATTTCTCAGTTCCTCATCCTGTAACCTGCTCAAAGTCTTCACTCTTGTCTCAAACTCACAACTGGAGCTGATCCTCGTAGCTTAAGTGAGGGGATTTCTCCTCCCTCTGACAAACACACCAAGCACATGAGCATCAAATCTGTGATGCCTATATATGCCAGCCATGGGCAGCCTGCATCAGAAACACGAAGCACCTGGAGAGGAGGGGATATCAAGAAGGCATAGGCAGTTGTGATAGCAGCAATGAAGCTGACATCTCACCATTACTGGGAGGGTCATGCTGTAAAGGTGACAGTGAACTTCAGGTCATCAGCACTTCTCAAATACAAATGTCTGAGGCCAGGTAATGTGTGAACCATCCACGTTGTATGTACAGATTGCTGCCTCTTTTTTAAAGCCTGGGTCATTTCACATTTAAGTTAAAAAGAAAAACCTGTTTTCCAAGGTTACTTTTTGGTCTGTACTTAGAGATCTATCAGAACTCATCTAAGTTACCCCAGGGATTACTATTAAATAGAATCACTTTTTAACAGTAATTCTAGGCTGAATTTGTCTTGCCATAGCATGACTTTGTGGCCAGAAACTAAATCCCTCTTAGTCAGAGAAGCCTGTTTGCTTGTTGCATGACCTTGAAGTCATGAAGCCAAACAGTGCAATGTAAGATCTAGTGTGGAGAATGAATGTCCACCTGTGCACAGAGATGTACAGGGCTAGAAAAGACCCCCGGGGTCTCTGAGATGAATCCTCTGTAATGCAGGTAACCATTTCAATCCTAAACATATCTCTCTCTGCCACTAGCCCTTAATCCTTTCTTCTTCCAGCTCCTCTTTTTGCTCTCCAGTAAAAGGTCCCAGGCCTCACCTTGACAAACAAGCTAAGCAGAATGAGGTTTTGGAATCTTGTGCCTGTAGGAGTATTTCTCAGTTCTTTAAATAATTTTTATAGGTCAGAGCCTGCTCTAATCTGTCACTTCCCTGTACAGAGCTGAGGACTTAACTTTAGTCCCAGCCTTGCAGTGTCCAGTGTGGAAATGTAAACATGCATGCATTCTTTCCAGCTCTGTCGTTAGTTGTAGCAGATGAAATACTCACCCATTTGGACAGCCTTCAAGACCTGGCCCTTTGCACCTGTAAAAACAAATGAACATTACAAACATATTAGCTCTGGCATACATACTTCTGTAATTCCAACTAAGAAGAGTGCTACTGATTGAAAAGTTTATGTTTCAGAGCCGTCCAAGTATTAACACAGGAATTTATAATACTCATACACTCTATTAAATATCAGTCAATGGCCTTGCTCCAAAATTTTTTATCTAGAGGCATAGTTATGCTGCATACTCAGTTTAAAGAGTATTTTTACTTTATTTTTACTTTACTAGAAACAACTTTCTATCATGTGGTAGAAGGGGGGAGGACATAGATATACAAAATTCAAATGGACCTGGATTCCCTGGCTCTGCGTGGACATCTGTGTTGTTAGCGCAGAAGCTCTCCCCTGCACAACGGCAGAAAGCCACATGGAAACATGTCACTGCAGACCCTCCTGCATAATCCTTGTTTCCTCACAAGTAAAAAAATTCCAACTTCCAGACTTTCTATTGCAATAGAAAACTTGGGTAGCAGATATACATTCCCATCAGAAAACAGGATTTGACAGCACTCGCTTTGGCTACAGTCTGTTGGTATGTGTCCATGATACTTTTCTTTCAGAATCTAAGGTCTTATGTTACTGGTAATGTAAAGAGGTATGACGCTTATCCAAAGAGCCAGAAACTCTACTAGCAAGTCATTCACCCTCCAGTTGAGTTTAAAATGCCTGAAATTAATTTTGGCAGCCCAAGGCAAAAAACAACACGGATGAAAACACAGTGACTGCATTCACTTGATGGTCTAACAGGTATGAGAGGCACCATGCGTTCCCTAAGTGCTGTTGGGCTATAAGATGTATGCTCTTCATGGGAACTGTGGTCGTTGTGGTGTCTGCCAAGGAAAGAGAGCATTACAGAGAGGGTTACATCACCTCTGAAAAACAGAGCACAGCAAGGAGAAAAGTCCAGTTTGTGGTATCCGCTCCCTGCGCTGACTTAAAGAAAATGGATCATTGCAAAACAACTCCAGAGGAGGTCAAGTAGGGGGTAAGGAGTGAGCCTGTGCTGGGAAAACTGCTCTGAATTCCCTCTCCCCAAGAGGAAAAACCAAAAAAATTTCAAAATGGCAGGTGGAGTTGCAGTTCTTATCTCATAACTTGATCTAGGTCTGGGGGAGGAAGAGGTGGAGCAACTACTCGTTTTATTGGGTTTTTGTTTGTTTGTTTGTTTTCATTACTCTGATCTTCCCTTGTGCACTTGCCTTGTTTCTGGGCCAACACAGTGCTCCAAAGACCCAGCATCTGGAAGGTCTTGTGAGTTCACTGGGCTCCCATGCAAGAATGTGCATCCCAGTGTCCTGGACATGCTGGAAGTGCTGTGCATACTGGTTCCCGGATCCCAGCCGCCCAGCTTTGTTAGTATTCCCTGTCTGCCTACAGCTTGGTTTGTTTGCTCAGTTGTGTAAGTAAGCAGAGAGAGGCTGCATGTGCAGAGCAGAACCACCAGCTTGCTTACAGTCACAGGAGACGTATCTGACTTTGCACCAGGCTTTACTCTTCAGGCGCTCAACAGAAAACAGATCTCAGACTCCAGACCTCATCCTACCACGCTCTACTACCCAGATCTGAATTTCTGTATGCTAATGCAACAAAGCCTGTGCAGCTTCTCCTGATAAAGATGTGAAAACAAAAGACCTCACATTATTTCAGCATGCGACTGTGGTCCCTCAAATTATGTCTTCCTAAAAATACCTATTTGCCATGCTACTTTATGATGGCAAGTCCTCCAATGAGCTTCCTAACAGCAAAAAAAAATTGGCTGAGGGGACAGTATCTATCCTCTGAGGAATGACCAACCAGTTATTTTCCTACACCAGAAAGTAGAAGCAGGAGAGGTGTAGATTTTCGTCTGTCCCCTTCTTTTTTAAAATTATTTCCCACACAAATCCATCAATATGAAGTCCAGTGGGATAAAGTAAAAAGGTGTTTGGGAAGAAAATGACAGATCAGCTTGTGCTTTTCAAATCCCACATGAATTTTTTTAATTTCACAAGTCAAAGGAGAAACAAAGTCTATGACAAATATCCATCCAGGACTAAATATAACAATCTTTCGTAATGTGAAATTTTATGATGACACCCAACATAGGTAACCCAGGTTTTATGGAATCCAAACAATCACTTTTTCCATTCCTGAATAGTTTTTCTTCTGCTTACAGAAACCAAAATGAGAAATGTGACCTTCTGTTATGAACTGTCACAAGATCTTATGCATATATCAGATGGAAACTAGCAGCAGTTGTAGTCTCTGAAATATTTCTCTACTTATTGGAAAATCCGTGCTGTGTACAAGTCCCTGAAAACTATTGCATCCTGAACTGAGCATTTCATCTGTCTACGTAAATATTGCTCATCCCAGTGCGGACACATTTATTTCTCAAATCCATCAAGATTTTAACAACTTTCCCCTCGACCCATAGCTCCTAATTTGATATAATACGGCCAGGTTGCTATGATTTATGACTTTTCAGAGGGAACTCACACTATAACACCTTAAGTTACTTCACAGTCATAAAAGAAATGGAAAACCATTGGGCTTTTTAAAGCCTCACAAGAACTTTCCTCTGCCCTTTCTTTCTCATTAACCTTCAGAGTGTGACAAAGGTGTCACATTTGTGCTGTGCTGCCGCAACCTTCCCTCTTGGACCCCCTGACTGCTTTCTCACCCCTGTCTAAAATCCCCTGGTATTTCACATGAAGACTGGGGAGACATATAGTGTTGGTAGCGCCTGCGGAGGCAGGACACGTCAGCCAGTGCTATTAATTACAGTGGTGGCTTCTCTCCCTCTTGCTCTTCAACCCCGGTGGCTGTGGCTGAATTTAATTCCCGTACTCTGGGAGAGTGGCAAGGGAAAACCAAATCCTTTAACGCCGAGCAGATTAATGAAGCTGGTGTGTGTCATTAGTTGCTGGAGGTATAAATGGGGTAATTCCAGGGCTTTTGGGATGTCATTCTCTTTATTGGAGTGTATTTTGTCAGCTGTAGTAAAAGCAAAAGTAAGCTTTTTGTACAAAATCCCCAAGCAGGGAAAATGGGAGAGAAAGGGTCTTTTGGGCTGAGCAGGAGAAAGCTACCTCCCTTCTGTTTTCTAATGAAGGCTGAACAAATGACTCAGCAAAGAAAATTAGTCTAGATGGGATTCTTCACAGCAATACAAATGAAGCGATGCACTACCAGCAAGCACACCTAAAGTGAAAACCCAAAATTCGTGACAAAGCTCAGTTGGGAAGAGAAGTCTTCTTTACTTGCAGCTTCTTCAAATAAGGAAAACAGAGCCAGGTCCTAGAAACCCTTACTTGCATGACTACTGAAGTCAGCGCACTTAATCATGCTGATAAGATTTTGTGGGCTCTAGCTGTGAAATTGGACAGGGACAGAAACAAAGTTGTTGTTTCTTGTCATGCAGAAATTGCTGAGACTGTGGTTTCTAAGGATGCAAAAACTTTGCAAGACATATGTTTTTCCACCCACTGCTGTACAGATCCCACTCCCGCAGTACGACAAGGGAAAGGCGTGAAGAGAAATGGCATTACTGATTGCCTTCATGGGACAATGCTGCGCCAGACTGCACGTTCCCATGTTACGCCTCTGACACTGGCTCTCTACCCGGCAATGCCATTGGCCACGGATGTCCCATCTGTAAAGCAAAAATACTAACACTATCTTCTTGTAGCTCTTTTGAGTTCTTCAAGGATACAGCCTATTTCTTCTGCCACATTTGGGCAGCAACTCGAAAAGGGCCATTGAGCAAACAGCCCAGTTCTTTCACGTAAGAGATGAAATTGATACTACTTTTTATGTTCTGCTGTAATAATACAGTGCCAAATACACCAAGCCATATGTTGGGTACCCCTAATTTTAAAAAACATGCCCTTAGCCTACCCCATCACCTGCCAGACTGCTGTGGTACACCCATCCAGTGCTAAAGCCAGGCAGGAATTGACTTTTCTGATGAAATCTGCTCTGGGGACTTGTATGTGCACAAAGAGACACCACGTGGCTTGTCATTATGTCGATGTCTGGCAGATTACATTCTCCAAGTTTGCATTCAAGTCTACTGTTTGATCTCGCTATCGAGGCCGCACAGCGGAAAGCCTTGTTCAGATGTGGTTACCCATTACGCTGCTCCCAGTGATCACCTGCATTTCCATGTGGCCAGTTAGAAGAAAGATATTGGGTCACCGTGGCCAGTTTGTATCAGTAAGGACTATTGAGGTCATTAATAAAGAGCAAAGTTATTAAGGTCCCTTTTCAACGGAGATCATTTGTTCTCAGGAGTGTGATGGGAAGCCCTGATAAGCCTTGCCTGCGACTGTAACAAAACATGGGGCATTGCTGCAAATCATGGCAAACCTACATGGCTGTTATGGCTACCATCTGAAAACCAGAGCACTGAATTCACTAGGAGCACTAGGAAGTGCCGTCACTTATGGTTTTAACCCTTCATCTTCTTTTCTCCATGAAGGTGGGGGTCTGGGCATCCTTCTCTTGAATGACCTGGCAGTTGAATTAGCCAAATGTGCAATGGGATGATGGCTGGTCTGCATGTAGTTGGAGGACAGTGTTGCAACTTCTCTCTTGCAACGCATATTACAGGCATATTACAGAAGAATTTTGGACTGGACAGACCTGCAGGGTACAGGGCAGGGACCTTTGAAGGAAAAGACACCAAATGTGGGCTGTTTTTTTGCTCTGAAAGCATCACAGTCCAACAACCAAGTCTAAAACGCTAAAAGCTTACTGCACATCTCATGTGCTTTGCAGGTTGGAAACCAGGAGGCAGCTGTAGCCCTGTTACTTCTTGTCATGTAAGTTAAGTACAGTTGAATTCACAGCTCATCACAGGTGGTGGTTTAAGCCTGCCCCCAAATGAGGACAAAAACAGTTCACGCAGATTTGGTCTATTGTGAAGCTCATTAATAAAGCCACGCTCAGGAGGCAAGCAAGGCTTTAAACTCGGACCAGGTGCTAGCATATGGAAAGAAGGAAAGAAAGAAAATCACTGTGGTACCCCACTGGGGTTTGTTTCCCTCCTAAAAAATCAAAGGTACAGAGAAAAACGGGGCCTGGGAGCCCAGCATCCACCAGATGTCACTGATGTTCCTCCCAAAAAACAGAGGACCCAGCACCAAGCCAGGTGGTAAAAAAATCAAGGTACATCACTGGTGGGTGAGTTCTGTAAAATTCCAGGAAGTTTCCTATTTAAATCAACAAACAAACCTGTTTCAAACCCCCTAAAACATTTCCTTTTTTCTTCCCTTCTGTGTAAAGATGAAGTGGCACTGAACTTTCCCTATTTACAAAGCCCGCTGTGCTCTGATGACATTACCTGTGTACTCCTGACCTCTCTCGCTCCATGCTATTTCTTCTCCGTGGTTTGAAACGGGACTGTCAGGAAGAGAAAGAGCTCGAGACGAGCTGTTCCCCTATTTCTTTTTCCCCCTGCCTCCATGCAGCCTGAGTACATTACTCACCCCCGGGTACAGTTTGGATGGCAGAGCTGGCAAACAGCATTCCCGTCGGCATATTTCCAGACCAGGGTGTCATTCTCGCCCAGAACACCCGCTGGGCAGGATTTCACGCAGTGGGGGCCGTCTATAAAATGGGCACACTTCATGCAATTGTCAGGGCCCTGCAAAGAGAAACAGCTTGTTTATGGTGTCCTTACGTCAGCTTATTCAGAAGGAAATTCGGAAGATACATCTAAATGCTTTCCATTGCTGGAAGTTTTCAGCATCATCTGGTTTTATTACCTTGCTACCTAATATTCTTGCAAGTATTTGCTCTTGTAGGATGGACCACACAAAAGGTAGTACCTGATGTTTAAAGTTAATATCTTCTTGAGTTTCAGTGTTGCTGCTTTATTTCCCCTGCCTTCTGCCTGTTTGGAAAGTTTGCATTGTTCATTTAAAATGGGGAATAATTTAATGATGCCTTGATAAGGCATAAGCTGAAAAGCAGAGGGCCCGGCTGTTGCCTCATGCAATCTACCAGCACACGATTTAAAATGATGGAGCTGGAGCTGCTGTCAGCTCCCTGAAGGACTGGCCTCAAATCACTATTTTCCTGGTTTCTCGGTGCAGATTCTTTGCTCTGTCAGGGAGAAGCAGGGGATTAGGAAGTAACCCAAGGAGTCCATGTGTTTTTTTTACTTTGAAAAGCACTTAGTTTGTGTTTAAAGGCATTGCCTTTGGCAGAACTGCTTTTATTCAGGCTATAACAGCGCCAGGAAT